TTGTCTCACATTCCCCACTAAGATGTTATAAAGAGCAAATAAAATAATATATTTTGAAGCACACTGTGCTTCTCTTCCGTTCCCCATGTTCCTAGTATCTGCTTCCTCCCTAAATGCTCACACATAAAAGAGAGGTCATTTCAGGGAACAAAGGAGCACCAAGGCCCTATATAAGTGCTAGCTGAAATTCGCTGATACTTTCATCACTGTTTTCTTCATAACCACCCAGACCCTGAGCTGGCAGGAAAGAAGAGGCATTAGGCTTTGTGTGGTAACTTGGCTCAGGGAAGTCAGTGGGCAGACAGGCATGCTGTGGGGCAGCGACCATGATTACAAAAAAATCAATGACATGATTGCTGTGCAGGTGTCAGCCATGGTCCTGCGCCTGCCCAGACTTGGTATGAGCTTCTGGTCTCTGTCCTCCTAGACACTCATCTTAGCCAGGCCTCTTCTTGCCTCTGGATTTCCCCAATGTCTTGCTTGTGTGAGCTGGAGGAGCTAGCTGGCTCCTCTGGATTCTTCCACTGACTGCCAGTCAAGAGGCTGGGTTCCTTGTCCCCTCATGCTCTTATTTTCTGAGGCAGCAGCTGCTTCAGTTTCCTTCAGCAGCACAAAGCTCTCCTCGGACAAGAGCATGTCCCTCAGAACTTAATAGAGTGACCTTGGAAACCACTGGGGGTCATCAGGTGCTGGACAAAGAGTTTAGCCAAGATAGCAAAGGAGATTTCCAGGCTTCTTCTCTCCTTTCAGGTCAAAGATGGAGCCTAAAGATGCTTCTGCCCTATTGCCCATGCTCATAGTGCCTACTTCTTCCTTAAACACTCACGCATAAAAGAGATCATTTCAGGGAGCAAAGGAGAAGACAAGCTTTTCAGAAAATATTTTCTTATGGCTATTCTGAAGGCCAAATATAATTTCTCATTTTACTTTTAATCCACACTTCACAGATTACAATGAGAGGATAATAAAGAATGTATATACTTATTTATGTAGTCTAAAAGGTTATTGCTCACTACCAAATATGATATCATTTCAGTTCTGATAATGCTGTCTGAAAGAAGGGTCTGTCTTCATGACAAATCCTGCAGAGAACGTAGGAATTAATAACTTTTTCCCCCATGTAGAAATGTGGAAGCATATTAGGAATTCTTTTTTTATTATATGACATAAAAAGGATTATAGTCTTCAAGTATGAAAGGAATGTGAAACCCAACAAGGCCTAAACGCTTTAAAAAAAAACCCAGCAAGAAGCTAGGTATAGAGGAGAGCTGGCGAAGTTGAGGTGAGGTAGTCTAGAGATGCCAGAGAGAGAAGCAACATGGATCTAAGATCGTGAGTGGCAGAGCTAAGCTGTGCTCCAGGTCATTTGTCTTCTCAGTGCCACTGAAGCTGTGCTGTAAGATGCGCTTGTTGGAAAAGTAACTTTTAGAAGAAAGCTATGTGCACACGCACATGTACACACACACAATCATATCCTGGAATTTTTCCATGGCTACACGAGTAAGGTGACCAGAAAATCCTAAATAATTAAGATCATTATTCTTCACTTTCATTTAAAATACTGTCCTTTGAAGCTTTACCAAGAAACAGGGAGTGCCATTTTTGTTTATACAACATCGTGTTACCGGAGTTTTAGGGAGAAAGTCCTAACTCTGGGAATCCCAGCAGTTTAGGCAGGGTCACCTATCCCCAAGTGTCAGTCAAGGAGAGGGACAGTGGTGGAGGAGCTCTCCTCAGCATGGTCATGCCAGGAAGGATAGATAAAGAGGATGGAGTTCTGCCTTTAGGGGTTGACAAGAATGTTAGGGTTTTACAGAAAAGAGGAACAAGACAAAGGCTGGGGTAAAGACAAGGGTTCGTTTTGTTTTGTTTTGTTCTATTTCTCTGAGGCTGGCAGAGTAGGTAATCCTGGCCATGGTGTGGTCAGGTTGATCTTTATCTGGGACTAGCACTGAGAGGTGGTTCCTCGGAAGTCTTATACCTACTGGCTCCTGTGAAATGATTGCTCCTGCTCCTGGAGGTGGCCTCTGTTCCACCATGACGTAAGTGCTTCTACATGGGGACAATCTCAACATGAGGGGATCTGTTCTGTAAAGCTTTGTGTTTCCAGGAGTCCATGGTGATTGGAAATTTAGACTGGAAACTTCTAGGGGGTCTGGACCAGTATATGTAAAGGCCGACAGTTGACTATCCCTGTAAATTTTGAAAATTACAGAGTATCCTTAGTGTTGAAGGAGAAGGAGATAGGTGAGGTTAAGTTAGGGCTGATCATCCTTGTGTTACCAGTTTGTAGACATGCGCCTTGAGACATGAACATGCCAATGTGCAGAGCTGAGTAGCCATCTGGTCCATAGCTAAGGCAATCAAGGAGACAGACAGAAAATGAAAGAGTCCAAGGTTTACCTCCTCCTTAAGCATCTGCAGGGCCAGCTTCTAAGTCCTTGATATAATATCACACACACACACACACACACACACACACACACACACACACACATCTCAGCTTTAGCCCTGAATTTCCAGATATGCTTTGAGTTACAATCATATCACATACTGATGACATGAGTTAGCTTGTGACCCACTCTATAGAAGGAAGAAAAACTGATTGACAAACCTAGTTGTGTGTGTGTGTGTGTGTGTGTGTGTGCATGTGTGAGTATAGTTTTCTATGTGTGTTCTGATTTTAGTTACCTTCAGTGTGTTCCAATGACCATTTGCAATTTGACATTTGATGTTTTGTTTCAGAAAAATAATCAAGCAAAATAATCAGTGTGGCCCACGAGGATCTGTAGAAAGGCTGGGATTAAGAAGGAGGAGAAGGGAAATAATGACACTCTGTATCTGTCCCGAGTCACCTCCTGGGGTTTCGGGTAGGCAGTTAGAACCCATTTTATCTATGCTCTGACACAGCAAACAGATGTACTGCCAGTCAAGATAGACCACAATGGCTTGTATTTCATTTTTCATAAAAGCCTGGAATAGTCAGCCTTTCCTACTGAGACGGAACTTTTCATCGGAGTAAAAATATACTGAGACTCTCGAACAGAAAGGCGAGCTGTCTCACTTGGAGGGCTGCATTGTGCCAGATGGTATGGAGAAGACATCAGTTCACCAGTGGCTGGAAAAATGTCAAAAATCCTTCATTTCACTCATTTTTAAGTTGTCACACTAAGGGAGTGTTTCTAATTTTATTTTCTACCAGTCCTTTTCTTTCTTTTTCTCATTTTAAAAAAATTCCATGGTGTGTGTTCTTTGATTAAGCAGCATGATCATATGAATGAATCAAATTCATTTTTAGGGGTCATTTTCAAGACAAATACTTTGTAACTCGTGGAGACTAAAATAGCAGGTTGATCTCAATCTAAGCTCTATAAAGCCTCATTGTATTAATACAAGCATAAAAATATATTTTATTACACTTTTATAAGAAATCAAGAAAGAATATATGCTTGCCTTTTCTGCCTGTTAAAAGAAATATGAAAGAACTTTAAATAAAGTTAGGAGCTAATTGTCTTTAAGGAGCAAAGGCAGCTAGCTTATGAAGTGTATGAAAGAATGTTCATTAAAAAAAATACATTTATTTAATGTATCAGCCAATATTTTGAATGCATTTTAATTGTCAGGTCCTGTGCTAGGCTCAGAAAAAAAACACACTGGCACTTCTTGTTCCCTACAGAAAAAATAAAGAGAAAATTATATATTTACTTATGCTGATAATTATTAGTAAGGAACAAATGAGATACTTCAATGGACATGACTCCATATATGTGATCAGTGAAGACTTTTCTGAAGCTGTGTTATTTAAGATGACACCCAAAGAATGAAAAGAGGTATACAACACACACACACACACACACACACACACACACACACACACACAGAGAGAGAGATTTTAAAATGACTACTTCCAGAAAGAAAGTCCCAAGGGACAAGGTTACAATGCAGTATCCAAATTATTCTGAAGAAATCTAAAGAAAAATATATTCTGACTCTCCTTTTCTTTTTTTTTTTCTTTTTTGTTCTCTCTGTGTGAAATTTGCTATTTGGGCATAGGATGTTCCAGGTGGATGCTCTGATCTTCTGTTTTGCATTACAAACTGGGAGACTTTCTCAACACTATTCTCTAACATTCTATTGCATATTTATTTTCACTGTCATTTAATTTTCAGGATCTCTCTCTCTCTCTCTCTCTCTCTCTCTCTCTCTCTCTCTCTCTCTCTCTCTCTCACCACCCCATATCCTCTCTTTCTCTTTCCAGTATAGAGAAAAAATGAACTTCCCCCTTATATCCTCACTTCAATCCCAAAATAATTATTGCACAATATTTTCTAAAAGGTTGTACTCGCTGGCTTATTCACATTTAAGGAATGGGGTACGTGTGGCCTGGCTTACAACAAGCATCACTAAAGATGTGGCTCCTCTCCACTCGGCTTCCGTCTCATATCCTGACGTCCCTTGGTTTCCTGCACAGGAGCCCCCTTTTTATTGTCAGTTCCATGGGTGCCTGTGCCGCTCCTGGCTCGGCCTCAGCCCGTGCTGCCTATTTGTGTTCTATCTGGCTCTGACTACAAAATTAGAGAACGAGGCAACTCTTTATATTTTTCTATAAAATGGTTTATCTTTCTCTTTAAATCCTTCACTCTGAGTTGGGTGTCCTATCTTCTGCTTCTTTCTGCCACACAGTAGTGTCATTATTTATTTACACACTCGTGTCCCCACTAGACTAAGAGCAGCCTGGCCGGGTTTTTGCATCTTTGTCTCAGCAGCACAAAGTCTAGTCTCTGGTACGTAGTGTCTGTCATACCACGAGCGGATTAAATAGCTCATTTAATATTAAGAAAAATAAACTATAAAATGTAAATAATTATACATACACAAAAAGGACTCACTATTTTCATGATACATGAAGAAACATGTATGATTTTCAATAATATATTGAATATAAATATAATATATTTTCAAATATTTTTTATAGAAAGTAGACACCAGCATTCCCTTACTTTCTTTGTTTTTCCCATGGCCTTCAGGATGGAGAGATTCAGATCTTCAAGGGCAGCCAGGACATTCTCATACTCGCCCAAGTGCTGGGAAAAATATTCTGAAAAGTGAAAATATTGAAATAAATTCCTGCTTGGGTGTTGGTAGCCAGGAAACCAAAATTCAGCTGGTAGTTTATTTAATAAAATAAATACATTAAATACAATGTTAACTATTAATGAAACCTGGAAGGTTTTCAAGTGGTACTAAGGCATCCACATAATAATTTCATTTAAAAAAGGAAAAGAAAGCCTTGAAGGTTACCCTCATTCATGAAATAAAGTTTTTTTTTCCCTACAAAAATAGGTGAAAGTGAAAGTGGAACTACTAAAAAGACTACTTAAACAAAAAAAAAATCATTCTTGACAGTATATTTTTATAGATCTCATTATGGTAGTAGCTCTAGAAAAAAGGTTGAATTACATTTAGGGGTTTCTTCTGAGAAAACCTTACAGCAGGTGAGCTCTCTCCAAGGTAAGAATAGGTGCTGGCCAAACCATGGGGCACCTGCTGCCAGCAGGACCAGCCGGAAACTGCTCCTATTGTGACTTTTTTCAGCAATTTTGAAAATGTTTTTTTAAAGAGCAAAAGCCATGTTTATTTCACTGTTTAGTTAAGAGGAACAGATGGTGTATTGGAAATTACCATTGAAAAGAAAAGTATTGAACACTGAACTGATCTCCACGTTATAAGTTGAAATATAGCAGAGAGAATTGTAAAATCTAATTTTTACCCAGAGAGAACAGTACAGTTCTAAAACGAGAAAGTGCTAAACCTGAAAGACATTCGTGCATTTTTAAAAAATACCCTAGAACTTTCAGGTAGTAGAAAGCCTTTACTTTTGTGAACCCTTCTTTGGATGAAATGTAGCTCATTATTGTTTCTAATGCTTTGTAAATATTTATAAATTTAAACTGAAATGATAATACATGTAAGCTACTGAAGATCGCTGAGCTCATTGCTACACGACTGATGAAAACTGACTTGATAAATGTATCACATACTCCAGACGCAATTATTTACTGATGTTGATAAGAATAGCAAGTGGAAGGTGCCACCAACTGATTCTTCTTCTCTGAACACAACAAAAACACAGGTGAGCACTAAGTAAATTCTGGATTATGGTTGTCAAAATACAGTCTGCACACACAGATTGAAAACAAGTGACATATTTTTGACAATAAAGAAAATGCACTCTTGACTCAATTCTTGAAAATAGTGTGGTGCATCTCGAAGTATTTTTAAGGAAAGGATCAACTGAATGTTAAATACAAACACATTCTTTAAATACTTGCTTCAAAATAACATTTTAATTCTTGGTTCTGATGTTGCCTTCCCAATGGGGTTGACAAAATGTCTGACCTTGTCTGGGCAATTATTTGCGATAAATGAAGTCCCGGTGGAGAATGCCCTTCTTGAACCAGCAAGCTGTCAATGGGACTGTAGAATATTCATAGGTTGAAAAAAATACTATCAGAATAGAGTACATTTTGAGTTGAATCAAGGAAAAAAATACAGTGGAAAATGAGAGAAGTCAGTAATTTTTATTTTAATATATACACAGGCTCAGAGTATTGTGTAGGATTTTAAAATGGAAGTGGACAGATATTTATAAAGCGAAAACAAAAGAGAATTTGGTACTAATTTTTTTTTTACAAGAAACAGGAAACAAGGGGTAAAATCATCCTTTCAAGCAAGCATTTTTTTTCCCCAAAGCCAAAGTATTTGACTCAGCCAGTAAAGTTTCCTGGAGAGGATTTAAGCTTTTTCTTTCAACTTTGGAATAGTTTGTGAGGACACGTTCTGGGTAGAATAGGCAAGTGGGGCTCCAGGGATCTTGAAGAAGGAGGCTACAGGGAATAGACAAAGACAGCCAGCACAGCAAAAAGGAGACCATTCTCTTTTACTTTGTCATGGTGGGTGTTCATTTGTTCATTCCAAGATCCAAAATATTTTTATTTAGAGCCTTTCAGATGCCTTCTACTATATGCTGGGAGGTTAGAAAATGAAGATGCAAAGATATAGCCACTACCCTGGGAGGGCCTTGTGTGAAGCTGCGAGTATGAAGTCAGGGATGTAGTGGAGGCCCCAAAAGTTGGAAAAGCTAGGGAAGTGGATGGTCTGAGGAAAACTGCAAGGAGGGCACCAGGCAGTCCCAGAGAGAAGTCATGGGAACAATACCTGCAGCAGCGCCTCTGTAGGTGTGGATCCCACTTCGAGTTTCATATCTTGCAACAGATTGTCAGAGATGCTGGACTTAGAACTAAGGGACTTAATGTTTGGCCTGCTGGGTTTTGGACTTGCTTTGGTTCCATTCCTTTGCATTTTCCATATCTGTGCCTTTTGAAATGGTGATGTTTATCTTGTACCACTGTATGTTGGAGGTGGTTAATTTCCCTTAACTTTGTACTAGGATTTGAGCATAAAGAGTATGTTTTAAACCTCAGAGACAACTTTAGACTTAAACTTTTCAGCGTTGTTGAAATTGCTAGAGACTGGCAACGTTGGCAACTTTTAGAGATGGACTAAATGCCTTTTTCACAAAGGGATGTGCAAGAATCTCTCAAGGACAAAGAGTGGAATGGTGTGACTTGGATCTAGATGTCCCTCTAAAGCCATAGAAGGGCTTTCCAGAGATGGCTGGGTCTAGGATGTGTGATTCTGGGATTAAATGTATGATGGTGGGATCGAGGATGCATGATCATTAAATTACCACTGATTGCTTTGGTATAGTTGTAGGTAGGATCAATGGTGCCTACCCCCGGTCGGTAGCCCAGATGGAATATAAGGGACAGAAAGAGGATCTCCACTTGTTGTTTGCTTACTGCTTGTTGCCACCTGCATGTCATGCTGTGCTGTGGACTGTTTATCTGCTGTGATGCCCTCTGCCATATCAGCCTGCCTGGCAGTCAGCCAACTGTAGACTGAAACCTCAATAAACTGGGAGCCAAATCAACCCTTACCTTTCAGCTTTGGGTGTCAGATATTTTTGTCTCAGCAATACAAGAAGTATCTAAGATAGACACTTAGTAAGAACCTGTCTCAAAAATTAAAAAAAATAATATGAAGGATGAGGATGTACCTCAGTGCAAATGCCCTGAACCCTATCCCCAATACCACCAAAAATAAAGATCAAAAGTAAAAATTTTCTGGACATGTGTGTAATGAGAGAGTAGAATGTGACTTATAAACATATGTGTTAAACAAAGAGGGAGGAGCAGTAAGAGCGAGCACCTCTCTTCCTCCCCTATATGATGTGCAGGCTGCCCACCTCGGGTGGGTGTAGCACTCACACCCATAACCCAAGCATTGAACCATGAATCAATCACAAACTATGGAATCCACCCTCACAACTGCCTGAGGCTTTGGGGGTATGTCTAGGCCCAGCGCATAACTGTCACGTGACATGGCAAAAGCTGCATTCAGGAAGAGCTTTGGAATGATTTGTGAGAAGTGAGTGAATAATCAGGTACTCCTACAAGCTGCTGGTGGGTCTGTGCACCGGAAAAGGCTTGGATGAGCTATTACACTTTGGGGGATTTATCACACGGAATGATGCACGTGCGTGTGCAAGAATGATCTATGTGAGAGTACTGACTTCAATGATATATGCTCCAGTGGGAAGTGGAGGCGACCTGAAAAGTTGCTAAAACGGGCTTGGTTTTAAAAATGAATGCAAATGGAATGCCATGAAGCCATTACAGTAAAATGAGACAGAGGAGTACGTGATTATACTTATTGTAGGATCTCACCATTGGGAAATAATATAGATATATTTATATCGATTTCAGTGTATGTGTTAAACAGTCTGGAAGGCTAGATTCGAAGCAGTTACGAACGGAGATCAGAAGAAGGGTAGAAAGTTGAGCAAGAGAAAGACTGCAATTTAGCTTACTTACCTCCATGATTTTGTATCATTAACTTTTGAAAAATAGTAATTAAATAGTGTTCGCTTCATAATTAAAATCATAAAGTTATTTTTAAAAAATCAATATTTTAATAGATCTTGAATTCCACGTTCAGAGTTGAATAATCTGACAAAACAGGCAAAAGCAGCAACAGGAAAGCTTTAGATACCTGGAACTTTTAACTGTGCTTCCAGGAGGAAGCACATGAAATCTCCCTTCGACGCCTATCAAATGCTGTTCCGCCCACACACGCGGGAACTTGAGTGGAGTGTGAAGCTACATATTTCCTTGCTAGCACTGAAGCATTTGGTTTTGATTAGAATCCAACTCAAATATTTACTTTATATTCACACAATAATGAGAAATGAAACTACACTCTGGAAATTAAAATGCATATTCCTAAAAAAAAGAGGGGAGGATTGTAACGTGATTGAAAACACAGACCAACTCTGTTGAAGTAAAGCTCCCCCTACCAGTTATTTAACTAACAATAGGGCGACATCATAGTGCAACTGTAAATGCAGAGTTAGGGTGGCAGTTAAGTTCCTTTATTATAGAAGAAAGACAAACATTTTTATAGCTGATTCATGAAGATACACTATCATATTTTATTGCGTTTTTGAGGGGAGGTGGAATTTAATATAATATTCCTTAATGACAATATATAGCAACATAACAAACAAGACAGAACCACTAAATGGTTTTTATCTTAAAAGCACTTAAAACAGCTACTTTCTCATCAGCTGGACCTACACAGGCAAAGTTAAATAAAAGATAAAGTGGCTATCTGAATTATTTGAGCAGATGAATACTTCGGCCTGCCATATCTAGATATTTAGCACAAATGGTACTCCTCCCTCCATGAACTTATCAAGACAAGCTTCTCGGTTCTCACATTCTCACTACTTTCCAGACAGGAACTTCTACACAGGAACATGCGTGGGCCTCCACTCCATCTTCACGGTGACTACTGTTCATCATAAAAGCTGGGGGCGCTGCCCCTATGGTAGTAGCCATGTACGAATGGTATCACGGCTTGGTTGCCATGAAAGCAACGGCAGGGTTCTTCTTGCTGGTGTTTCATACCCAGGAAAGCATGACCTACTTAGATAGAAAAGTACTTGGCTTCTTCATAACCATACCTTGCTTTTTA